GGGCGTGGGGCGTGGGGCGTGGGGCGTGGGGCGTGGGGCGTGGGGCGTGGGGCGTGGGGCGTGGGGCGTGGGGCGTGGGGCGTGGGGCGTGGGGCGTGGGGCGTGGGGCGTGGGGCGTGGGGCGTGGGGCGTGTGCGCGGTGTGTGCGCGGTGTGTGCGCGGTGTGTGCGCGGTGTGTGCGCGGTGTGTGCGCGGTGTGTGCGCGGTGTGTGCGCGGTGTGTGCGCGGTGTGTGCGCGGTGTGTGCGCGGTGTGCGCGCGGTGTGCGCGCGGTGTGCGCGCGGTGTGCGCGCGGTGTGTGCGCGGTGTGTGCGCGGTGTGTGCGCGGTGTGTGCGCGGTGTGTGCGCGGTGTGTGCGCGGTGTGTGCGCGGTGTGTGCGCGGTGTGTGTGCGGTGTGTGTGCGGTGTGTGTGCGGTGTGGTGCGGTGTGTGTGCGGTGTGTGTGCGTGTGTGCGTGTGTGCGTGTGTGCGTGTGTGCGTGTGTGCGTGTGTGCGTGTGTGCGCGTGTGCGCGTGTGCGCGTGTGCGCGTGTGCGCGTGCGCGCGTGCGCGCGCGTGCGCGTGCGCGTGCGCGTGCGCGTGCGCGTGCGCGTGCGCGTGCGCGTGCGCGTGTGCGTGTGCGTGTGCGTGTGCGTGTGCGTGTGCGTGTGCGCGTGCGCGTGCGTGCGTGTGCGTGTGCGTGTGCGTGTGCGTGTGCGTGTGCGTGTGCGTGTGCGTGTGCGTGTGCGTGTGCGTGTGCGTGTGCGTGTGTGTGTGCGTGTGTGTGTGTGTGTGTGTGTGTGTGTGTGTGTGTGTGTGTGTGTGTGTGTGTGTGTGTGTGTGTGTGTGTGTGTGTGTGTGTGTGTGTGTGTGTGTGTTGTGTGTGTGTGTGTGTGTGTGTGTGTGTGTGTGTGTGTGTGTGTGTGTGTGTGTGTGTGTGTGTGTGTGTGTGTGTGTGTGTGTGTGTGTGTGTGTGTGTGTGTGTGTGTGTGTGTGTGTGTGTGTGGTTGTCCTGTTTGCGTGTGCGCGTGCGCGCGCGCGTGCGTGTGCGTGCGCGTGCGCGTGCGGGTGTGCGTGCGTGCGTGCGTGCGTTCGTGCGTGTGTGCGTGTGTGATGTCTGTGTGTGTGTGTTGTGTGTGTGTTGAGTGCCTCTGCTTCTGCATGTCCATGCGGCCAAAAAGCAATAGTCTCACTAGCCAATAGCCAGTGCATGAATTCATGTTGTGAGCCAGATCCAATCCAAAACCATGCTTCAAACAGTGATGCACGACTACCTGACCAGCAAAACGGCAAGAGAGGAGTACTAAGACAACCCTGAACCACCAACAAAAACATTCAACCAACGCGAAACCAATGCTACAAGCAGGCAATGATTGCCCAACCAATACTCTAAACCACGGTAAGCAACACGAAGCCCTCTTCCCGTAATACTGCTGCAGTAAGTCAGCACTAGCCAATGCAAGAACACTACTATGCAAATTCCAAGCCGGCGCCACTGCAGCGCTACATGCAGAGAAACAAACTCAATCCGCACTCACAATTTGTTGTAGGGTGGTGTGTCTGCATGTGTCACCCTCTTCCCCTGTTGCCGACCGACAAAAACACACATATCTGCGCCAACCTCTCCCATCTGGTGCCCACAGACATGTGCTTGCCACAGTTACCACTCAATGCACACCGACAGGCCAGCCAATCAAAGCATCCAAGCATCCAAGCATCCAAGCAAGCGAGCAAGCAAGCGAGCAAGCGAGCAAGCAAGCATCCAAGCAATCAAGCAACCGAGCGAGCAAGCATCCAAGCATCCAAGCAAGCATCCAAGCATCCAAGCATCCAAGCAAGCAAGCAAGCAAGCAAGCAAGCAAGCAAGCAAGCATCCAAGCAAGCAAGCAAGCATCCAAGCAAGCAAGCAAGCCTCCAAGCAAGCAAGCAAGCAAGCATCCAAGCAAGCAAGCAAACAAGCAAGCAAGCAAGCAAGCAAGCAAGCAAGCAAGCAAGCAAGCCTCCAAGCATCCAAGCATCCAAGCAAGCAAGCAAGCAAGCAAGCAAGCAAGCAAGCAAGCAAGCAAGCAAGCATCCAAGCAAGCAAGCAAGCAAGCAAGCAAGCAAGCAAGCAAGCAAGCAAGCAAGCAAGCAAGCAGCAAACCAATCCAACCCAACCCGACCAAGAAACCAAGCAACCAAAAAACAGCGGGGTTCTAGGCACGTGGGCAAGCGCTTCTGTCAAGAAACGCAGGCCTTGGCTGTCACATGGAAAATGCGGACAATGCCACGAGCAATAGGCAGCAACATTTAAGCACATAAAAACGGGCATGGGAGTCATAGAAAACATTGCGAGCCTTGCTAACACAACCAGCAAGCAACAACAAAGCACACACAGCACACACAGCACACCCCACACACACACAACACACACGCACACAGGCACACACCCACACACACACAACACACATACACACACGCACGGACGCACAAAGCACCCACACACACACACACGGAGCACACATGAGCACACGCAAACACAAACAGGACAACCACAGAGACGCAAACACACAACGGGACGTGGAGCGATAAATGTCCACACACAAAAACAAGCGGGCGCAAACAGCTGCTGTCCCAAACAAGTTTGCCACGGCGCGAGCGCAGGGCAAACTCGGGCGAGTACTCCTCGGGAAACAGAGCAGAACGCGGAAACGAGCCCACACCTGCAGTGCCATGTCAATGTTGCCCACTCCTTCTAGGCTAAGAGCACTTCCTGCCGAACAGAGCTGTCCAAAGATGTTGCTTCCACGGTCTAAGACCCCCAACAGAAGCTCGTCTCTACAAAGCAGCAATTGCAGCTTGCAGGAAACCAGGAAACTCCAACTTAATAGCTCATGGCGCATGTAAATCTCAAGGTCATTGGACCTTGAAGCCAGAAACAGATCATCTTTACTGGCAGGCCGTTCATCTTACCAGAACTGATCTCCCTAATTGATTCGAGCCGGACATGGACTTCTAGATTGCTATGATTCAGCAACAGGTTCTTTTGAGCCGCCTTGGCTGTGAGGCAACTGGCATATCCTCACTCCGCCATTTCAATCCACCTGGGGAATCCCATGTCGTCCCCAAGGTACAGTGGATTTTCCCACATCTTGCAAGTACCACGTTCATGGGGAATTTTACAGGATGTCCCTTCTTCTCCAGCAGCCCACTTGTGCCTGCCGATCCGGTGAGGCTAAGGGATCCGCCCCATTGCAACACACGTGGCCATGACCTCAACCTACGGTTGAGTCCTTCACATGGCACGACCGTTTTCACCCGGCCCGACAAAGGGCCCCTCGGATCAACTTGCGGGTGATTAGTGGGACACATTTGTTGGCAAAACAAGGGCCCACGAAGGACAAGCTATCTTTCTCAAACCCAAGCCCCCGCAATCCCCAACCCGTATCCTTGTCCACTGACCCTACGTCCAATTGGCAAGATTGGACAAACACTTGCAGAAAGCAGTTGAAAGCAAGTTGGAAAGCAGGTCAAAAGCTGCAATGTAAAGATGCTGGTAAATATCCTAAGAGAAGAGCAACTGCAGTTAGAAAGCAAATTCGTCCAAGTTGGAAAGCAGTTGAAACGCCACTTCCAGCAGCCGTCAGCAAGCAACATTAGTGCAAAGACAAGAACATGAAAAGCGCGTGCAGTTGCCAACAAAAGTGCACAGCAGTCCAAGAATCACCTCAAGAGGAGTGATGTGGCGAGGAGTTCGTGACATCCATGAGGGCATGGACACTGATTTGGTGTCAGCATTGCTTGCTTTGCAGTTCCATCTTGTTGCTATTCAAGCGCTTGACGCGCGCTGGGGAAATAGCACCTGCACCAAAGGTCCCAGCAGCCCACGTTTGCATGCCGCTGCCGTAGGTCACATAGTGGATAGGTTCCTCAGGCCAAGCATGAGGAAACCAGCTCAGAACAGTGGCAAGCAATCTCAACATGGATGCACCCTGAAGCTCAAGCACCCCAAACTGAGAAGCACCCTGTTTCCTGGAAGAACGCCACCAGGGCGCGATTGAAGTCAGGGAGCACAACGTGCAAAAAGGTTTACTACAAGCGGCAACGCCTCACCCGAGGATATCCAACGTTTGCCTGGGCCCAGGGCTATAAATCAAGCTTGCCAGGCTTCCACATAATTGAATGTCTCGTCGCAGTCCATGATCGGAGCCTCGGTCGGGATACCACCACTGCGAAACACGCACCCCAAAGCTGCAATTGCTAGTATGAGAGCGTAGACTCCTGCCGAGTGGAGAGAGGAAGGAGCCCCACTGAACCGAAAATGCTCTGTGCTCAGCTTCCGTCTGGCTCCGCATTGAAGGTTGGCAACGCATGTCAACTCAGCCCGGCGCCAAGTATGCGCAGCACAGGCGAATGGCCAGCAGGACGCTGAACATGTCCCAACTCGGTGTGCAACAATGGCAACCAAACTCCTTCTCTGCCCCACCAACGTCAACATGCAAAGCCCAGCCGACAAAAATGCTGCTCCAAATCACGCCTGGCTGCAAAGCCATGGGAAATGGAAAGGCCTTCTCTGCATCAGCCGCCATGGCATGGATTCGGGCCAAACCTTCGGGCCAGTGGCTTCATGCCGGACACACTGCGCACAGAAGGCCATGTCCCTTTCAACGACTTCCGGAAGGCCACCCTATCTTCCAATGCAGTCCTCGTCTTCCTCTTCCTTGCCTTCCCTGTGCGAACGTCACATCCGCATGGACTGGGCAGGAAGCAAACAAAGGCAACTAAAAGGTAGGCAAAAAAGGCCCCTGCAGCACTGCACAACCACCAGGCACCACCGTTCGGCTTCTTGCGCCGTCAACGCAGCTTGACGACTCCACCAAGGGAGGCACAGCATGCTGAGGCGGCTGCCTTGTGGCTTCCTGAAAAGCCTTCTGCAAATCCTGGCCGCCATGGCTCGATTTCCGGAGAATCGGCTGAGGATGTTTCACCTGGAAGGCAGTAGTTACTTTCATGTTGTGCGGCCACATGATCTACTTTCCACAAAAGTGCCGGCCACCGTCATTGGCAGAATGAAACCCTAAATTACACGCCCCATTTCCACACTGCCCCCCGAAGGTAAACAATCCCCTTCGAGAAGCCGGTGACCCCAAAGCCATCTTTGAGGCGTTTACCAACGTAGCAGGCAAATGGGGGGTGATCTAAATGTTGGTGCCGCTGCAAGGACAAACAAAGTCCCTTTCGCTCGCCCTTCCGCCGGCTTTCGCGGCTCGGGGAGTGGAGCTTTCTCTATGTGAGCAACTATAAAAGAAGTACACTTTGGTAGCTCCGGCTCGCAAGTCGGTACAAGTGTAGTAAGGAAGTGCACTTCGGCAGCTCCGGCTCGAAAGTCGCAACTTTTCAGTACAATTGTAGCTCCGGCTCGGAAGTCGCAACTTTCCATTACAAGTGTAGTAAAGGAAGTACAAGGAGCCTGAAAAGAAGCTTTAAGAGGAGCTTTGTAAGGAGCTTTGTAAGGAGCTTTATAAGGAGCTTTAGAAGGAGCTGACAAGCTTTTGCTTTATGGGGGGCTTCATAAGGAGCTCGACAAGTAGCATTATAGGGAGCTTTGCAGAGCTTTACAAGGAGCTCTGTAAGGATGTTTATAAGAAGCTTTATAAGGAGTTTTGTAAGGAGGGCCATAAGGAGCTTTAGAAGGAGCTTTGTAAGGAGCTTTGTTGGGAGCTTAGGAGTTTCATAAGGAGCTTTGTAAGCAGTTTCATAAGGAGCTTGATAAGGAGCTTTATAAGGAGTTTCATAAGGAGCTTTACGAGCTGTGTAAGGAGTTTATGAGTAGCTTAATGACAAGCTTTATATAGTGCTGTATAAGGAGCTCTATAAGGAGCTTTTGAAAATCGTTTTCCAAACGGTGAAAATAACTTCTGGGGATTCTGTCCCGGAACTCGTTTTCCAGCCGGTGAAAATATACTTCTGGGGATTCTGTCCCCGAACTCGTTTTCCAGCCGGTGAAAATAACTTCTGTGGATTCCGTCCCGAAATCGTTTTCCAGCCGGTGAAAATAATTTGTGCGGATTGCGGGCCAATGTTATAAAAAGCTTTATAAGGAGCCTTATAAAGAAGATCTGAATCAAGAGCTTGAAAAAGGAGCTTTGCAAGGAGGAGCTTTGTAAGGAGCTTTATAAGGAGCTTAATTGACTTTTACAAAGTGCTTCATAAGGAGCTTTTGATGGGTGTCCCCGAAATCGTTTTCCAGCCGGTGAAAATAACTTCTGCGGATTTTGTCCCGGAACTCGTTATAACTTTGGGGAGTCTGCGGGCCAATGTTATAAAAAGCTTAATAAGGAGCCTTATGTAAAGAAGATCTCAATGAAGAGCTTTATAAGGAGCTTTGTAAGGAGGAGCTTTGTAAGGAGGTTTGTAAGGAGCTTTATAAGGAGTTTAATTGACAAGCTTTATAAGTGCTTTATAAGGAGCTTTATAAGGAGCTTTTGATGGGGTCCCCAAAATCGTTTGACGGTGAAAATAACTTCTGGGGATTCTGTCCCGGAACTCGTTTTCCAGCCGGTGAAAATAACTTCTGGGGATTCTGTCCCCGAACTCGTTTTCCAGCCGGTGAAAATAACTTCTGTGGATTCCGTCCCGAAATCGTTTTCCAGCCGGTGAAAATAGCTTCTGCGGATTTTGTCCCGGAACTCATTTTCCAGCCGGTGAAAATAACTTCTGCGGATTGCGGGCCAATGTTATAAAAAGCTGTATAAGGAGCCTTATATAAAGAAGATCTCAATGAAGAGCTTTATAAGGCGCTTTGTAAGCAGGAGCTTTGTAACGAGGTTTGAAAGGAACTGTATAAGGAGCTTAATTGCCAAGCTTTATAAAGTGCTTTATACGGATCTTTATAAGGAGCTTTTGATGGGTGTCCCCGAAATCGTTTTCCAGCCGGTGAAAATAACTTCTGCGGATTGTGTCCCCGAAATCGTTTTCCAGCCGGTGAAAATAACATCTGCGGATTTTGTCCCGGAACTCGTTTTCCAGCCAGTGAAAATAACTTCTGCGGATTCTGCGGGCCAATGTCAGCATTCCATAGCATTCAGCATTTCTATTCCAGAGTCTGCTCAGTGACGCACGGGAGCCAAAATGGCTCTTGAATCGTTGCAGATGTGTGGCAATCCACTCTCCCATCCAAGAACTTGCCTTAACTTTTTTTGGGGGGACCTTTGGAGGGGGGACCTTAGGCCCTTGTGACTAAAGGATCCTAATCGAATCAAAAACCTACAGATTCCAAACCCAGCATGCCGAAAATGCTTCAAACTGGTCTGAAAATTGTTTTGCGCAAGCCCAAAATAACATTTGGAGCCATTTGAGGCCCTCAAAACCATTGTGCATAACACCGACCACTTTCCCTTTCGCTCGCCCTTACGCCCTCTTTCGCGACCACAGTGTGGCAACACCTTGTATATCCACTAGGTCTCCCGTACACAAAGCCTAGTTCCGTCGATTTAGATCGACTCCCAAATGGAACATTATTGGCTCTGCACAACGCACTTCTGAACCAACCTGCGAGAAATCTTCAGCTATTATCAGCCTGCCTCGAAGGGCACTGACAAAGGTCCCATCCGAAAGAACAAAAATGATTAATCCTGAAAACCAAACATTTCAATCCTAGTCAGCCACGTGTCAGCCACATCACCCTACCGCCTTCGCGGCCAATGGTAGCGCCCGCTTCGCCCGCCGCTTAAAAAGAGGCTCCACCTGATCAGTGATCGGGGAGGGGGGGGGCAGCGGAAACTGAGACCCAGTAACAGAAGCACGCAGCCTTCATGCTAGGCTGTTATTCGAGATCGAAATAGGTCGGATAGGTCACACCAAGATTAGCACAAGGAACATGGCCCCCAAGCTTGTAATCTGAAGACAGCGTGCGTACGGAAAGGACGCCGAAAAGCTGCCAATGTATCCTAAAACCGCCATTGAATCCATCAACGGGACCTCCGACCTCAACTTGCGAAAAACATGAAGGACCCACCTCCCTGCATGTGTGATTTGCGCCCATCTTGACTGCTGGGCATCCACCCAATCTTTCCCGCTCCAAAAGGATGCTCCAAATGGCGGGGGTCGCCCCTTCAACGAAAGGAAAGCAGGTCCCAGCTAGTTGAACATACATGCTGCTGAAAAGGAACGAGTTCCCAAATGCGGAAGGGTTCTTTTGAAAGTGGCCAGTTGCACCATCTCAACTGTCAAAACTCGAGTCGGCGATAAGACTGAAAGCCTCAAATGAGGAATCCGCAAGCAAGTTCGGTCATCATGGGTGAGGACTCAAGCAACAAAAATATGCAGCGCCAGGATCAACACATATGAGGATGGGATGGGAAAAGGGTGACGTGTAGAATTCACAATGATCGCTAGATTGCATCTTTTCAAAGTTCACAATACATGTATGTGCTATGATACATATGTATATATATATATATGTGTGTGTGTGTGAAGGTATGTATGTATGTATGTATGTATGTATGTATGTATGTATGTATGTATGTATGTATGTATGTATGTATGTATGTATGTATGTATGCACGTATGCATAAGTATGTATATGATTAAATATCTATGCACATGTGTATACCTGTGTGTATCTATCAACATATATATATATATATATACAGGTGCATCATAGAGAAACGTGATCGTTATGCCGGGTCCGCGCCGCCGAGCTGAGCTCCGAGGAGAGGAGGGCCCTCTGCCAGATCCGGAAGTCATCCTATCGGAGCCCCACTCGGCGCACGGGAACGCATTCAAATGGCCATGGGTCAAAATCCAAATCGTACCCCCAGTGAACATCCCAATCCCCACTAAAATAGACTAAAGTGGGTGGTGCACCTACCCCAAAATGGTACCAGTGGTTTTGACCCACAGCCAAATCCCTGGTAGAAAGGGCGTGGCTGGATAGCCGGGCATCTTGTGGTCACGGGACGGCGTGAGCAGGTCCGGTGGCACCCGGGGGTGTGGGTGGATATGCATTTTCCTCCCCAGAAATTCCAGTGTTGATGGGACTTGGGTGTGGGTGCCCTTTATGCGGTTACTTGAAAGGGAAACCGAAGGGCGCCATGTGTGGGGTTCCCTTTGCTTGGTCACAGTGCTAGAGGCCTAGCCCGGTGACGTGGAAGTGGAAATGAAAGAGGAGCACCTTGCGCCCCGAGCATCCAAAAGGGCCACGTCAGAGATTCGGTCCTTTTGTTCGGGCCTTTCAACTGAACAGGTCCTCTCCACGAGGTCACTAGCGAGTCGGCACCCTTTAAGTTGGCAAAGAATATCTGAAGCCCTTCACAGCCTGGTTGGGACGGGTTAGGCGAGCACCAGCCAAACTGCAAGTCATTGAACTGGCACACAAAAACGCTGAGGCTGGAGAAGGAGTTCTTCTCGCGGAACTCGGTTTCAGCTCTGCCTGTGCTCCGTCCTTGCTTTTTCCACCTTGCCATGGGAGTTTCAACCGTGAAAGAGGAAAGCTCTTGCGCGACACTGGCGAACAACTCTGTGCACTCAGAAGGCGCCACTACATCCGCTCTCTGCTTCGAGGATTTTTGCCCGGGACACTGCGCAGCAAACTCTCATGGAGCAGAACTGAGCATGAAGCACCCATTCATAGAAGCACGAGTACAAGTGGTAGACACAAGCACGATGCTTTGCTTTACCTATTTCCAGGGCTGGAGGTTTTGACACTCAGGTGGTTGCCATATTATCAGCACTGAGGGCTTTTAGGCCCTGCCGGCTCTTGCTTTTTGAAGGCCTCTCAGAACTTCGCGTGCCCATGAGCAAACTACTGGAAGGAGGGGCCCAACAAAACCAAAGCAAGAAGCAAGCAAGGCCATTCAAGTTGAAATGGGTTAATGCCCTAGCCCTGCCCAACAGCTAACTCACAAACCGATGTGTCCCCACCATGGTTCACATGCCTTGCTCTCACTGAGGGCGTCACGCCATGCAAAACCGTGCGGGGCGCCGACCTTTCCCTTGCTGCCTTCTTACGCTTGGCCCCACCTGTCGTGCCTCACGTGAGGCATGACCGGGTGCCCTACAATCCGTAAAACATCACCCCCAAAGAAACTCAGTTGGAATCAGCCCACCACAAAGGTTAAATGATACGTTTGAAAACCCGTGCCAAGGAGCATTTCGGAACCCTGGGTGATGCGGCTGGGACAGCAGTGGGCATTGGCAACCTCCTGACTCCAGGCATGTGCAGCACATGCGCGCATGTTGCAGCAACCGCGTCCCCTCACTCCCTGTGGGGAAAGACGAACAGCCACTTCTCTGAGAAGAGGTAGAGGCCACTGCACCTTTTGGAATGCCCATCTTTGCTGACTCTTTGACATTCCACTTCTGTCCTGTGCCCGGTGTGATACCCTGTTCAGTTGGGATGAACTGGAAATGCTGAAAGGTTGCGCTTGGCCTTTGCTCTTGGGTAACCTGCAGCTGCTGGCAGCACTATCTATCAGGAGCCTAGACCGCGACACCGTGACACGGCATCACATTTGCCTTTCGTGAGCTTTCTTCTGCCAACCTGAGCTAGCAAATAGTTATGTGATCGCAGCATGTCCCCGCTCAAATGCTTCGTGCGATCCTTCCCCGGCTTCAACTGTCTTCCGACCAAATCATCCTTTACTCATCCTGCCTTTCCCTTGCAGTTGTCTTCGTCCTCGCGGTGCCCTTCAAGGCACTCTGCTTCACTTCGCTTCTCTTTGCCGGCTGTGCACCTCTGTCCGTCCTTTGCTCGCCCTCAGCCCTTCCTTTTGGAAATCCTTTGCTTTGCCTCTGCCTTAACTTCGCCTGAACTTTATTTTTACTTTGCCTTTGAGATCTGCCTTGTCTTTGCCTTTGCTTCGCCTTGTCCTTGCCTTTGCTTTGCCTCTGCCTTAACTTCGCCTGAACTTTACCTTTACTTTGACTTTGAGATCTGCCTTGTCTTTGACTTTGCTTTGCCTTATCCTTGCCTTTGCTTTGCCTCTGCCTTAACTTCGCCTGAACTGTACCTTTACTTTGCCTTTGAGATCTGCCTTGTCTTTGCCTTTGCTTCGCCTTGTCCTCGCCTTTGCTTTGCCTCTGCCTTAACTTCGCCTGAACTTTACCTTTACTTTGACTTTGAGATCTGCCTTGTCTTTGAAATTGCTTTGCCTAGTCCTTGCCTTTGCCTTGTCTTTGCCTTTGCTCGCCTTGTCCTTGCCTTTGCCTTGTCTTTGCCTTTGCTTCGCCTTGTCCTTGCCTTTGCCTTGCCTTTGCGTTGTCTTTGCCATTGCTTTGCCTTGTCTTTGCCTTTGCCTTGTCTTTGCCTTTGCCTTTGCCTTGTCTTTGCCTTTGCTTTGCCTTGTCCTTGCATTGTCTTTGCCTTGCCTTGTCTTTGCTTTGCCTTGCCTTTGCCTGGCTTTGTCCTTGCCTTGTCATTGAATTTGCTTTGCCTTGTCCTTGCCTTGTCTTTGCCCGTGCTTGCCATCTTTGCTTGGCCTTGAGTTGCCTTTGCTTTGCCTTCCTTTGTCAGTGCCCTTTCCTTGCCTTTCTTTGCACCTATGCCCTTTCAGAGTGCAGTTGCCTTGGCCTGCCCTCGCTCGACGTTGCTGTCCAACTTTGTGTGCAGCCTTCATGCTGGCCATCCGCTCTGCCCTGCTCCTGCTGCTCCAGGTGCTGGCTTGCCCTCATTTTCCCCTTGCCAGTAAAAAAACAGGAAAACCCACAAATGATGCCACACTCAACTACACGCACACACACACACACACACTGGCAGCCTCAGAGCTTCGTGCCTCTTCCGGTATGGGTCCTTTCCTGAATTTCCTTTTGGGCTTTGAGCAACTTCCAGCCTTCCCCTTTGGCATGCTTACTTCTTGTGACTCTGGCAGGAGGGGGTCTTGCCTTCCCCAGCCTGATGTGAGATCCCAATCAATGGCAACAACCGATCCGAATTGTGCAACGAGGCCCGCAAGGCGACCGTGTTCGTTTTGAATGATTCATCACAAGGATGTGCCGTGGCATTGTCCTCTGCCTTACTTTCCATTTGTACACCTGGGTGCCCCCCCCAAATGAATGCGTGGCACCAAGTGGCACACATGGCAACTCTTTACATGAGCGCAGTCCTGAAACAGAATTCCATCCAAGACTGTCGACAACTGATCCCCCACCGTAGTCTGACAGAGTCATACCACCTTGACCCAAGTACAAGGCCGAATTCCACCCTTGCCACAGGCTAGTTGATTGGGCTCACGCCCCTCAAATGCAAAGGAAACCCTAAATGCCCTGGGCAGATTGACCGGCATTGCTTTTGCGCAAGTCCTCTGGTACCCGCAGGACCCGCAGCCAAATGAAGAGGACATGCCTCGTCGCGCGGCTGAACATCCCATGGATTCCTGGGTTACCTCGTCATGGCCGATCAATCACAAAACGTTTCATTTTTTTGCAACTATGCAGCTGCGAAACACTGGGCATGGCTGGGGACCTCGCAATGCGCAGCCAAGCCGCCGAGTCAGTGGCGCTTTTTGTCGATACCATGCTTCACGCACGGGGCTCGTTAACGCGGCTGAGAGAGACACTCTTTCACGCCTTGAGGCGCCAGTGTCAAAGCCAGGGACCTGCTAGCATTTGGCAAAGCGCACTTCACTTTGCCAAGTGGCCTTCAGCCCTCATTGCGCTACAATTACAAGAAGATCATTGCACCTCAAAGGGACCTTGCAAGGAAAAGGAACAGCATCTTGCAGAACAAGGGCTTGCCTTGTGCATCCGAGCTCAGGAATGCCCGAAAGCCCAAACGCATTTACCCCCAATGCAACACTAACGCTATGACAGTGGTGGGTCCTGTGGCCTGAGCATTCCCTATCTTTCTGCGATATTCGACCTGTTGGGCCAGGAGCTGGCCGGCGTGGAATTAACAGCTCGCAAAGAATTCATCCCAGCCGTCGCCGGGGTCTTCGTAGGGCAATTCCCGTGGATGATCCTGACACGGCAAGTGTTCGATCTCAAACGCGCCGCGGCCTAAACGCAAGTGTCGGCCGGAGCGGGATTTTCCTGCACAAGGGCGAACCTTTGAGGGCTCGAGGGGTCAGGGGTGACAAGAAAGACACAATTTGTTTAACGATGGGGCCAAAAACTGCCAAAGCCACATCTCTGAACCACCTGTTTCACAGTTGTGTTGGAAGTTGGCATGCCCGTGGGGCAGTATCTACAACCATCCTAGTAAGTCAGATCGCCCGTGTGTTTTTTTCTTCTCTCTCTCTCTCTCTCCCTGTCTCTGGCGCTGTCTCTCTCTCTCTCTCTCTCTTTTCTCCCTCCCAAACTCTCAAAACCATAACGATAATAATATCCAACAACAACAGGCTGCGAGGTTTTATTGCCCCTTCCGTGAGCGTGGCCAAGCCACAGAGCGCCGGACCGCTTTCTGCTTCTCAAGCTGTTCTCTGCTTCTCAAGTGCACCCAAAAAACATTTGGTGTGAATCTCCGTTTTGCTTTGAATCTTTCCTATGGACGATATCGCAATTGTACCGACTACCTCGAACAGCTACATATTCCACATGCAAGCACCGCTAGCCCTTACTCTTGCAAATGTTCACAATCAGTTTCTCTTGGATATCTGTGTGCTATTCGTTTCGTCCCATTTCTTTCTACGGGACCAAACAAGGCGAGTCAATGCCGCGCCAGCTGTGCACGTATGGCGGCTGGGTTGAGTCTTGAATCTCCCAGTTGCAGCCTGTGCAGCATGTCGGACGCCATGTCAGGTGCGTTGTAATGAGTTTGTCTCCAAATTTGGGGGGGGGGGGCCAAAATGCCTGATTTTCCTGTTGGTTTCCCGTTCCAAAAAACCAACCAAAAGCGTTCTGCCTCCCACCGCCAAATTCCAATCCAACCAATTTGAACACACCTGCGACCAGTTCAGCTTGCCGAGCTGCATCTGGGCTGGAGAAGAAGTTTGCCAGGTCCCTGTTGGAGCGCACATGCGGGTTGAATGGCGGCGCAAGGGTCTGGTTCCTCATTGCCTTGGCAGCCAGCTCCAGGTCCACGCGCGAAATGCACCAACAACAAGCGCAGAAGCTTGGAGGCTTGAACGGTACCGCAAGACCTGTTTCGCCGCTCCTGCAAAAGACCAAAGTGGCAAGCGCTAGCAATTCGCACGGCCGCTATCTTATGCCAGGGTCCCTTGCATTATCCGTTCAACATCACCAAGCCCAAAGGGCTTCGACTTGAAACTGGCGCAACGAATGTTTGGCATCAGCTAAATTGGATAGATGGGGCCCAAGTAACAAGAAGGCTGCTTTTGTAGGCCATGCTGCTGCATGCTCAAAGCCTGTGAAGAAGGGTTGCTTCCAGAGGTTGTTGAGGCCGCCCCGTTGCGCCGGCAGCCGCTTGTCGGGGTTGTCCCTCATCAGCCTCCGGTCCCCGCTGCCAGCTGCAGGCAACCCGCAGTTGCGCGCGACTCCAAACAGAATGATTAAAGCTGCGCCCTGTTCTGACTGCAACTTTTCGGGGTTTGACTTCAGCCATGGCTTGCAGCTCCTAAGCTCCACTCAGCCCCTGCCACTTGCAAAGCCACGCAACACAAGCCGGGTGCCGATGTCTGGCACGCTGTTGAACTTCTTACAAACTCATGAGGCAACTGCCCGAAAGCATCCCGGAAATACCTCACAGGCCCATGCCGGGCCACTCAGACAAGCATGGAGGGGTGGTCCTCCCGCTTTTGCGGCGACAACGTCCTTCTGGCGGCCCGGCCTGTTTTGCCAGCCACTTCGGATGTTGCCCCGGACCAAAGAGAGGCCAGGCAAAGTGTGTTTGCAATGGAACAACGCTGCTGTGAGCATTCTTGGCAAAAAGGCAGCAATTGACAATAATTGACACCTGGAAGATGACAATTGTATGGTTTGCCTGTCCCTAGGATAGTTCACAACCTGTCTTGAATGTGCCCTTTTCTTGCACGTAAGCATGCGCCCTGAGCAGGTCACCTTTCTGCCTTCAGGACTGGCAAGGCTCCCTGGCGATGCAAGGCTGCTTTCGAGTTTGTGCTTGGCAAGAAGCGCTTTGATCACGTCTTCGCAGGGGCCGATCAGCAAGGCAGGGAATCTCACCCGATCCTTGGCAGGGCGCAAGCAGAAGCTCTAGCTGTTTTCTAAGACTGCACCTTATCAAGTCAGGTGCCAAACTCAAATCCTGCTCACATCACTAGTCCGAGGTGCGATGCCCTTTTCGATTTTCGCGAAGGTCCTTGGCTCTGGCCCGCTCCGAATGGCACAGTGTCCGACAACAGGTTCTATAACTACAAGTCATCGTGACACAAACACCACGCACGCAAATGACGGACTGTTCCACTTGACGAAGTTCAAGAGTGATTTGCCTCGTTGGTCGATCCTCTCTGGACCTACCCATCTTCACAGGGGAGGCCGCTTTTCTCTCCTGTCACTTCAGAGGTTGGACCGGGATTCCTCGTTTTACGCCAAGTCGAGCCGCTTGGTTATGGGCCCCGACCACCCGGCAACCCTGACCTTCAGGGTCCTGTGAGGGCTTCGAGCCGGATCGGGTTGGTCCCCAAATGGTCCCCAAAAAACGAGTCGAAACCCTTAAGCCTGTAGCTCCCCCCCACCCCACCCACCAAAATAGGGGTAAAGACAGCAACCGAAACCAACCCCGCAAACCACCACGAAAGACAGCGCCGGGCCGAGTCGCTGGAAAGGATATGCCGACTCGAAGGGGGGCTTCCCCGCCATCAGCTCGAAGAGCAGTACCCCTACGCTCCACCAATCCACGGAGCAGTCGTGGCCGCAGGCCTACGGGCCAAGGGCTCGGCTGTAAACGAATGCCCATGCCCTAGATGGTGCCAAGGGAAAACGGACACCTATTATTTAGTTATAGCAAGTCACAATGGCACCATGGGGTTGTGGTTAAGTATGGGTGGTTTACTCTTGAAATATCTATATCCAGCGTAGCTGGCCGACATGCCTCCAGTGCTTGAGGAATGCTTTGCAGGGCGACTCTTGCTGGAGAAGGCTTATGGTGGATGATGGGCCCAACTCCAAGGTTGCAGTGGAGGGTTCTGAAATGGGGCGGTTCTCCTAACTGCCTGACACTGGAACACACAAACCGAAGACAAGCATGCAAAGGCAGGTCTGAACAACACCTTAAGCCGCAGAGTTACCGCCAAGGGCCTAAAAAACAGAAACATCCTTTCGACTTCCAACTCATGATCAAATTTGAGCGGCCTTGACCATCTCCGGGGCAAAGTAGTCGGGAGTTCCCACCACGGTGTAGGTGCTGTTGGTGGCAAACTTGGCCGAGCCCATGTCCTGGGCTCAAGTTGCCCCTGGCCCACTTGAGCCAAGAACCAAAACCTCGGGAGCGTAACTTGAACAAAGGCCTTGAAATGTGCTCCCATGGAGCAACTCCGCCAGCCACCGCGCCAGCCCAACAAATATGCCAGGGAAGATCACTTCCAGGAGGCGTGTGCATACATGCTTTGCTGAACCGTGCCAGGCAGGCTCCGTGAGACGGGCCCCAATGTAGCTTCATGAGCTTCTGCCATTAGCCCATTCAAAAAAATATAAAATTTGGGCCCTGCACTGAAACACAAAACGCCGGATATTTGGAGCAAAGCTCGGAACAATAAATCCATTTGGGCAATACTCTGGCATGCTCTAGAAACTGAAAAAATGGGAGGCACAACGCGTCCCATGTTGCCCCTCACAATGGCAATGGCGTCACCTGTGCAAGACGAACTTGAGGTTCGTGAAGAATTGGTGAACGTTGCCCGGGCTTTGGGTGTGGCGGGCGCTGACCCAGGGCGAAGCGTCACAAGGAGACAGTGTCGCTAGCCATGTTGTCGACCGGCCCGTAATTGCACGCACTGTGCTCAATAAGCCCCAGCATGGCCCTTTGATTGTACAGTGTGGCAAACTAACTTCACATTTCGCAGGGGGTTGGGTGCGTTTCACGCTTTCACGCACTGAACGGTCCTTCGGCCGAAATCACGCAACATCACGCAACATTCACGCTCCCTCCCTAGCAGCTAGACAAGAAAAGCGAGTATGCTGCTAAAGCGGGTGGGGCTCAAAAACACAAAGAACCGCAGTTATTTTGTTCCATTCTCCTTGGCAGCGCTTCCCGGACAGTTCATTAGCCTGACTGGGCCTTCAGGCACAATTGGTTTCATAAAAATTCAACGAGTCCCTTCCCTGGTTGATATTTCTAGGTGTCCCCTCATGTTACACCTCCTTTAGGAATAGCACCCTTTATCATAGCAAAAAAACAAAACCGCAATTCAGGATCTTGTGACCGCTTCGGGGAAGGGGGGGGGGGTGGTGTAAAAAGCATCCAACATTACCCATTTGCTGGCCTGTGCT